ATTGTAACCCAAGTTTTGAGATAGTTTCTTGAGTTATAAGAAGAAGCATTCAGGTATTTTTTTGTGTTATATACCTTTTGTTTCTAACACGATGAAAGATAATGAAAGCAAATTGCTCCATCATATCTAATAGGGATGTTGGTAGATAGCAGTGGTGGTGGTTGTCAGTGGTGGTTTAAGGTTTTGATCTCCAATGAGAGAGGATGAAATCAAACAAACCCGCCTTTTTCCCTTCTTCCATTATGTTTAAGGTTTTAAATTCAACATTTGATTTGAGCATCATGTGGTGTTTTCTACTATTTGGTTTTGATTTGAGGTTAGGATTTAATATGGATCAAACTTGTTTTATAGGATTTTATTTTGATTTGAGATTGAGATAGAGTGGTGTTGTTGTTGTGGTGGTGACGAGGAAGGAGAGGGACCCATTTATATTAACGTTATGAGAATGATGGTTTGACTGTAAATGGTGAGAATGGAGGTTTGATTGTGAAGAGATAAGAAGCTGGCATGACAACACATGTCAATTATTAAGTCAAGAAAATAGTTAATATGGCATGATAATCAACTAGAGGGCACTAAACTTGTTAAATGGTTTCAATGGTAAAAATCTTGAAAACTTATGATTATAACTAACCGAGAAGTGATGTTCGGATAAAACCATATCTTTTTTAAACACTTTAGGATTTCATTATCCTTTTTCCAACAAAATAAACATATTTTAAGTCAAACTTTATTATATAAAATATCATCATATTATATTTTTTTGTATATATTAAACATTGTATAGTAATGGATACTGGTCGTATTATAAAAAAAACAAAATTTTTTAATATTTTGTCTTTGAATCAATTAATATTTTTTGTTATTTTTCTTTTACAAAATTGTTACATAAGTAATACTTAAATAATTTGTAACAACTATGTTGAAATTAACATAAATTAAAGTGTCATCATGTCATTTTGTATGATTGGAACTTACATGTGAGCTAAGGAGCTTCGTAATTTGTACTATAATATATGTTTGGGTATGTGCGGAGTGCATAGATGTATAAGATCGAATTAGAAGCCGGTTCATCAACAAGGCGGGAGCCCGAGGTTTCAAAAGGTGCAATACCTCTTTGGCGAGGTCTAGGGCAGCGCCCCTAGCGCGGTCTAAGTGGGTACACAGTGGAAAAATCAAATACTTGAGGGCGATTATGATAAAACTAACTAAGATCTTCAGTTTTGGAAACCATTGATTTCATCATTAATTCCGGATTTCCTTGATTTGTTTCCAAAGAAACCCATGACGGCCCCAACCCTAAAAACGAAACCCTAAATCTCGTTTCTATAAAAACGTTTTTTTTTCTTTTTTTAATTATTATTATTATTATTATTATTTTTTAAATTTATATGAACACAAAATCTTCTATCATTTTAACTTACGTTTTTTGTGCATAAATTCGTAAGTATCCCATTGGGATTATCCTAGGCTGAGTTTATTGTAACACAAACACAGAGTAGAAATATCAGTTCGAAAAATATTTACACAATCCAAGGGGTATCCAGATCTCCACTATAAACCGTACCCAATTTCTAATATCTTGTTATTAGACGAGTGTGTGTATTCATGTTATCTTTAGATAAGAGGATTAGGAGAGTATAGAAGTTATGTATGTTGTTTTGGATAGAAGTCAGCAGAGATAATCTATTTGTTAGTAACACCTATGGTAGTTGCATTGTAATATCTTAGTGGTCCTGAACCTATCTTTGGGTTGTTTATATACACTGATTACATTAAGAATTTGTCTAGTTTATATAAAGGTTTGTTGAATTTTCATTAGAAATGCTAGAATATTTTTTAAATATGGAGTTTACAAACTATGATCGTTCGCGGTCACAATTGAAACACATATTGAGCTAGTTTTTGGAGGACCCAAATTGAGGACCAACGAGATAGGTGCTACACCTAAACCTACAACCAGTCAACCACAATCATTATTCACATAACTCCCCACCTCCTCCATTGATACTTCTATTTCTGAACTACTTTGTACAACCACCCCTTAGTAATTTGAAGGACCAACTTACATAGTAAAATGGAATTATGCTATAATTTTTGTTATTATTTTCAAACATAAAATAAAATTTGTCGTGTTAGTTTATTTACCCCGTTTGACTTAAAGTTCCAACTATAATTCCATGAAAATAACTACTATAATGTTGTCTGCTTCAAATTCTTTTTTAAACATGTTAATATCAAACTTAATTACAAAACCAAAGTCAAGCAAACCACCTACAAGTCGAACCTTTATTTTCTTTTTTAGCTTTTTTTTTTTTTTTTTTTTTTTTTTTTTTGGGGGGGGGGGGGGGGGTGGTGGTGGTTAAATTTGATTATGTAAATGGTTTTGATTCTAAAGTGCTTGAAGAAGTTGAAGGATACTATCCTAAAACTGGTATTTAGTTGATTTAATGATAGATTATAAAGTGAAATTGTCCATACATAAGTAATATAACAAAACATTTTATTTTATGAATGGAAACGAAAACAAAAAATGAATATCGAGAATATCCATAGATTATACTGTCCCACATGAACGATTTTGTAATTTAGTTGAATTATTATTAATAAAGCTTTAAAGAAAAGGAAGAAGAATGCAATTCGAGTAACAACACAAGGACTATTTTTGATAAACGAAAACATTTCCAAAGAAATCATCCTTATGATTTAATCAAATTTATATTTTCAATCAAACTTTTGGTTGATAGGTTGTATTTTGATGGTTTTCAAATCTTTTATATATATATATATATATATATATATATATATATATATATATATATATATATATATATATATATATATATATATATATATGTTTTACTCTTGTAAATGCATATAAATTTACCAATATATCCCTCATTTTGTTATTTATAATATTTATTGATGATATTAATCATTGTAAGTATTAAAGGAACCAACCAACCATTGCCGGCCGCGTCCTTATGACTATTGTCTAAATCTATATGAATATAACAATTAAAAAATTAAATCAACCATAAGGATAAATCGTGAGGTGATGGTGGTCTTCAATTTAACTTCGGTTTTGGTTGTGGGAAAGTGTGAGAATGTGTTTTAACTTTGGTGGAATCAAACATAAATGGTAACCTTATGAATAATCTTGAGGCAATTGTGATATTGAATTCAAGTCCAATTTTGGTCTTAGCACAATGGTGTTATGGAACTCAACTTCAATTTGAATCGGTGTTAGGTTTGTTAGAGTGGAGAAATAGTGTATGGTAACCGGTGGTGGGCTTTAGTTTTGTGACATGCGTTGGGAGATGGGCGGTGAGAAGATAATGAAAGAGATGGACAACAATGGCGATAGGTTGTTCGAGGGTGAGAAAGAAAAAAAAAATTAAGGGCAGAGGAAGTGATGATGATAAAGAAAAAAAGACAGTAGTCACAACTTACAAGTATAAGGTTGTTTTTGGTAACAATTATGGAAGGAAAGTAAAAATTATAGACAATGTTTTTGTTTATTTGTTCCCTGTAATTAAAACATTTTTTTTTTAATTTGGTAATTTTAGTTAGAGGTTGTATTGATTTGTTTTGAGAATAAAACTGTTACATTTACAATATAACAATTTCATAGTTAGATTTATCAGTCAACTACAAGGACTGTTCATATTGTGTTCTTAAATTTTGGACTAAAACCGTAAATGTAGTCAAACTGTGAGTACCATTTCTGTAATTTTCTCTAAAAGTTATGTTCGTTCTTCAGAAACTTAAAAAGAAAAATCTTGGAAGAAGCAATCGAGTGGCAGAGATATATCTTTGCCGCTTCACAGTTGAAAAGTACCGTAAAATTTCACCTTTTCTCTCCAGGGGTTTTGTTTTCTCCATCCGTTAGAAATTCACCCACTTTTATACTCGTTTCCCCTTTTTAATTCAGCACATTCTTGCTCGATTTCTTCCCTGGGTCAATAAAGGTATCAACTAATCACATCCAGATCAAGTTCGATTGATTTTGAGTTAATTGCATTGGTTATATTTTGATTGTAACTACTATTCCTATACATTTTGTTAAAGTTTTAACTTTATGGGTTCTAATTGGATCGGGATTAAGCTCAATTTGAAGTTCACGATAGTAGAACGGTCTCACGAGTTGAATTTTGGGGTAAATGAGTTGAATTGTTTTGACTAAAAATAGGTGTTCAATACAGGAACTTCGAATTAAGTTATTTGTTATTTGAATATATGTTTTGTGTACTGAAGTAGCTTCGAAAGGAATTGACACAGCGAATCGGAAGATGACAGTTGATTTTGTTTTATTTCGTCCTGGTTTCTGAAAATATTTTGGGAAATCGTGCCTTATTTGTCTACTCCCAATTGGGTATGCAATTTTGTTCGATTTGATAAGTTTTATGATCGAGAATTTAGGTTTTTTTATTGGCTTTTGCAATTAGGGCACCGAAATTCATGAAAATGTTCAGATTGCACATGCCCTAGATTTGCATTTGGTCCACACACTGCTTCATCAAATAAACACATTCGTATGCATCATTTTCCCTGATTTTTGACAATTGAAACCTTAGGTGATATTCGATCATGTGGTGAAGTGCTTGTGTTGACTGTTGATGCTGACTCTACAAAGATTCACATTGGTACTTCTGTTTTCTTCTTATTACTACATTGTACTTTGAAGAATCTACACAACTACATCATTGTGCTTTAATTTCTTTTCCTGATATTTTTGTGGAAGGGCTAAATACAAGAAACAACAATTTACTTTCATATATTTGTGTATTATAGCATCCTACTTTCATTTCTTTCTATTACAATATTGTAATTCCACTTTCTTCTTATAAAGATTCTTTAAAATAAGATGCTATAATTGGTAAATATGAAAGTATAATCCTACAATTAGGCTAATTGGCTTTATTATCTAACTCAATGAACTTCCTTAAAGGGTCTTCATGAAGTGATGATGAAATTTCTTAAAGTGTCTTCATGAAGTGATGGATAATGAAGCAAATGCAATTGAAGACATCAATAGAGCAAGATTACAAAGCAAAGAAAGTGGTTTCCCTCTAAATCCCACAAGTTCCAATGTAGTGAATCCAATTAAAGATATTAGTTTTCAAGAAAACAATCCTGACACGTTTACAAATATCATTGATGGAAAGAACAATGATAATTCCAGGGGTATTGTTGAAGAATTAGTCGTAAGAAATTTCAACCATGGGAATTTAGAAATAGTTGGTGCTTCAAAGCCTGATGTTTGGGAAGATTCAGACTCCATTTTCTTCCCAGGATTTCTTGAAAACAAACAAGAAAACCAAAATCAAATTCAAAATCAAAATCAAAACGAGACAAATGACAATTCACCCCATGATGAAAACCAACCCACTTCAAGTATTCGAACAAAGATTCTTTCTAAATCCGGATTCTCCGAGTATTTCGTGAAAAGTACACTCAAGGGCAAAGGCGTCATTTTCCGAGGTCCACCTCGAGATGGTCAAACCGATCCCCGAGCTGTCATTCCCGAGCCCAAAGATGAAAGTGTAAATCTGAGAGAATGGTTGAAAATGGGAAAGAATAAAGTTGATAAATCGAAAAGTCTTTACATATTTAAACAAATATTAGATTTAGTGGATTCATCACACTCTCAAGGAGAAGCTTTACAAGCTTTAAGACCATCATTCTTCAAATTGCTACCTTCAAATCAAGTCTTGTACATGAAGGAATTAACAGAAACCAAAGGAGATGATCTTCTTTTATCTAATCAATTCTTGAAAAGAAGAAAACATGGCGAAAATTTCAACTCTTTTGGCATGTGGCAACAGTTCCCAAATCGTTCTGGTTCTAACCATGGTCAAACTCAAACTCAACCAGGGTTGACTTCTTTTGGTGGCGATTTATTAGAAGAACAGTGGTATGCGGGGCCCGAGGATGTTAAAGAGAGGCCTTGCATGATGTCTTCAAACGTGTACTCTTTGGGTGTTCTTCTATTTGAGGTGTGAAATATAACAACATGAGATTATATAAAATTTTCTTTTGAAATGATCTTATAATTCTTTTTTCCATGTTCCAGATTCTTGGATCTTTTGAATCTTCTAGAGAACATGCAATTGCAATGATGAATTTAAGACAAAGGATTCTTCCTCCTAGATTCTTGTCTGAAAATCCCAAGGAGGCAGGATTTTGTCTTTGGCTACTTCACCCTGAAGCCTCAGCTCGACCCCCCACTAGGTAATTATGAAATTAATTCGGTTGTCAACTTTTTAAAAAAAAAAAAGAAAAAAGAAAAAAGAAAAAAGAAAAAAAGATTTCCCTTATATATGTTGATTTCAATTTAACAGGGATATTCTAAAATCCAAGCTCATAAGCGAAATAGAAGAAACATCAACAACCGATTTATTATCCTCCATAGCTCAAGAAGACACCGAATCCGAATTACTATTACATTTTCTCACATCTTTAAAAGACCAAAAACAAAAACAAGCCACAAATTTAATCAAAGACATCAACTACTTAAAATCCGATATCAAAGAAATCGAGTCAAGAACACAATCAATTCAAGAAAACAACAAACCACCAATTAATGAATCAAGACTAAAACCCAATCTAATCCACCTCGAAAGTGCATACTTTTCCATAAGATCAAGCATCAAAAACGATCCAACGGACACGATCGATCAAGAAAATAACAAACCGTTGGATCGACTTGGAATCTTTTTCAACGGTTTATGCAAGTATGCAAGGTATAGTAGATTTGAAGTTCGTGGTAATTTAAGAGGAGGTGATTTTAGTAATTCCGCAAACGTTATATGCTCTCTTGGATTTGATAGAGATGAAGATTATTTTGCAACTGCGGGTGTTTCTAAAAAGATTAAAGTTTATGATTTTCATTTATTGTTGGATGATTCGGTTGATATTCATTATCCTGCGGTTGAAATGGTAAATAAATCAAAAGTTAGTTGCATTTGTTGGAATAATTATATCAAGAATTATCTCGCTTCTACAGATTACGATGGCTCAGTGAAGGTTTCTACTCTCTACACTTTCATTTATTTTATTATTAATTTATAATTTTATATCATCTTACTTCAATTTCTTTCCATTTTTCTATGATTCCAGATATGGGACGCAGGAACTGGTCAAACAATTTCTCATCATATCGAGCATGAAAAACGAGCATGGTCAGTTGACTTTTCTCGAGTGGACCCCACAAAGTTAGCTAGCGGGAGTGACGATTGTTATGTCAAAATTTGGAGCATTAACGAGGTAAGCTTCTTCTTTTTTCCTTTATCGTCTTCAAGATTTTAAAATTTAAAAATGACGATTTTACCCTTGTACAGAAGAAGAGTTTATCAACAATCCGAAACATTGCGAATGTTTGTTGTGTACAATTCTCTCCATTTTCGTCTCATTTGGTGTGTTTTGGGTCTGCTGATTATCGAACATATTGTTATGATCTTCGGAATATTACAACTCCATTGTGTATATTGGGAGGACATGATCGAGCTGTTAGCTATGTGAAGTTTTTGGATGGCGAAACCGTAATTTCAGCATCCACTGATAACACACTAAAGCTTTGGGATCTCAAGAAAACAAAATTCGGTTGCTTATCGAGCGATGCTTGCATCATGACTTTCAAAGGACATACAAATGAGAAAGTTCGTTTTTTTTTTTAACTCAATTACCTTCATAAATAGTTAACACATAAAATATCGTTATCAAACTTATTATTATCCGAATAACAATGAAAATCTATGTCTACAGAATTTTGTCGGTTTATCTGTTGCTGATGGATACATTGCATGTGGTTCAGAAACAAACGAGGTAGCTTTTAGTTTTATTCTTTATATATATATTTTTAATTTTATATAACTATTAAAAAAAACATATACAAGTTAAATTTAAAACGATAAAGTCAAACAAGGACTCGTTTTTCTCAGATAAAGTACTAATTTACAGTAATTACTGTGTCACAGTCTACCTTCTCTCTCCATCTAGGGCTCAGAAAATTACATTTTTGCCACAGGTGTTTGCTTATTACCGATCACTTCCGATGCCAATCACCGCCCATAAATTCGGGTCAATCGATCCGGTTTCCGGCAAAGAAACCGACCACGCGAACAACCAGTTTGTTTCAAGTGTTTGCTGGCGGCAGAAATCGGACATGGTTATTGCCGCTAACTCCAGTGGCTGCTTGAAGTTGTTGCAGATGGTTTAAGTGATTTGTGACGTCATCAAGTGTATATAAATATTTGAAAATAAAGAAAACTCCGAGTCCCGAGCCTTTTGGGCTAATTCGATTGCTCGTGTACATTGAGATGAAGTCGAGAGAATTTTGCGGTTCTTTTTGGGTGTTGAAATTGAGATTGATAGGGTGGTTATTTGTGCTTTTTATTTTTGGATGAAATTTGGAAGTAGAGTTTTTTTTATATATATATATATGTAAGTTGTGGTAGATGTTGATATGTATACTGTATACCAGATAGTTTTCAGTTGAGAAAGGTTTATACGTTTTAGCATTCGTTTTACGTATCTAAATAGTTGGGTTGAAGTGTTGGTCTAGTGGTATATAATACAGTAGTTGTAAAACCTTTTTCTTATAACGATTGATTAAAACAAAATATTAAATGAGAATGATTAGATCTTTTTCTTATAACGATTGATTAAAACAAAATATTAAATGAGAATGATTAGATGAGAAATTTACTTGAATTAAAATTTGAAATAAGTGAAAACGGTTAGAAGATTAAACATGCAAAAAATAAATTAATTAAAATTATGTGTTTATTTATTAGATCTGTGTATTAAACATATTAATTATAACAAAATGTTAAATACAAAGGTTTAAACTGTAAGTTTATTAGAAATTGAAATTGAAATTTAAAATTTGAAATTTGAAATTAATAGTTATTGTGATAGATTTAACTTATGAAAACTAAATTAATGATATATTGGAAATGAAAAAAATGAAAAAAAAATAGAAAATAAATATATCTCAAAATTATGGCAAAATGATATGTGACAAATTAAATGAGAGAATGATATGTGACAAAAAAAATTAGGGTAGATTTTAATGTCACGTCAAAAAATATTTATTTCATATTTTGTATACAAAAATATTTAAAAAGTAAAATTTTTATAAAGAAAAAGAAGGTTTTTTTTATGTGAAATATGTTTTTTTGTAATATGATTTTATAAAGCAAAAAAACAAAATTTAACACAAAAAAGATTAAAAAAAACAAAATTTATGATGAATTTGTAACAAAAAATTTGAAATATAATGGTTAAAAGTATAAATTTTAAACCAAATTTATAATTAAATTTAAAATTCGGACCAAAAATATAAAATTTAAAAATGAAATGACCTGTTAATCCTGTAGAAATGTCAAAATTAATATAATTGTCTGTTTTTCAACTTAATTGAATACGAATATAAAACAACAATATAATGATTTTTATGAAGATATTCCAAAAAAATTGAATTTATGAAATTTATAGGTAAATATACGTGCTTTCAAAATGATCTTGGACATTTGCAGTGTCCATTTTGGAACCTAATTTCAAGATACTAAAAGATTGTTAAAGTGTACTTTATACCGGCAGATAATCCGTAACGATATTATTGCAAAACAACTTCTAATTGCTAGGAAGAAAAATGGTCGATCAATTGATAATGTTGTGAAATATACGATCAATCATTCAATTGCTAGAAAAAAATGGCCAGGTTGTTAAAACCTCCACCCAGTTATAATTATTTTTATGATTTTTCCTCTAAATAACTTCAATCGCGATTAACTTGTTTCTTTTTTTGATTTTTAGCTACAAAGAAAATCAATTTATCAATCTGGATTCTGGGATTATCCATGTCATCACATCATTAAATGTCTGCCACACATCCACCATGACTGAAGACTACCCCAAAAGCTTTCAATCACATTATTGATTGTCTTGTTACTTCTATCTCACATTCCCTCCAAATTTCTCGACTAAAATTGCATCAAACTTTCTGCGAAAATGGAAACCTTGATCACATCCCACTCCATTTCATTTCTCAATTGGAAAAACCCTTCATTAAAATCCCAATCTCCTCAATCGCTCTTCCATTTTAGACCTAATTTCCTCTCTTCTCAACCCTCTTCGAAATTGCAATATCACTTCAACGATAAATTGTTTTCACAGAAGAGGTTCGGAGCTACCATAAACGCTTCAATAGCTGGTCAAACCAATCCAATCGATGATGAATATACATGGCTTCTTGAACCCGTGGGTGAGTAATTTTTATCCCTTGTTCATGTTCAATTACCACGCTATAGTATACTTGTTTAAATCAAATTTTGGTTTGTGAATTTCGTCAAATAGGCGATGGAGATTCAAGCCACATCGGGTTTAAGGTTGCTATGCCATCTTCATTCGAGATTTCATCCGTAAGTAGTTTCTTTAGACTCATTATCTGAAAATCCGACTTCTGACTTTTAAAGTTTTCGGGCATGATTTGAGGTAGAAGGAGGTGACTGTTGGACGTGTTCCTGAGAAAGCCGATATAGTAATCCCGGTTGCTACAGGTAATCATTAGTTATGGCAAAATTCAAAATACTTTCTTGGGTTAAATTCAAGAAATAGCAACAATTATAGCAATTTCATGATTTTCATCTAAATAAAAGTTGACTTTGACCGTTATATTGGGTAGATTTTTTAAACCATAATGTCTTTATAACAATTTGTTTTTCAAAAAACCATGCTTTAATAAAATGATATGAAAGTAGGATGCTATAATACAGTTTTCGAAAGTACATTGCTATTTTTGATAAATGTTTGTGTATCTTATGTAGTATCCGGTATGCATGCCCGATTTCAGAAGAAGGGTGGTGCTCTATTGTTGACCGATTTGGGCAGCACGAACGGTACATTCATTGATGAAAAAAGGCTTACGCCTGGTGTGCAATCAGTTGTCACCCCTGGGAGATACGTTACATTTGGTACAATCTTCCTAAAAAAGATTTATGGTTTATAATTTTTATTAACTTTTTTGTAAGAGGGTATTTTATATAATATATATTTGATTATTAGTTAAAGATTATCATTGATCTTTTTTTAGGAGACACCAATCTAGCAATCTTCCGTGTTTCAAAGATTAAAAACGTGAAGCCTAGTGAGTCCGAGCCCCAAGTTGAATTAGAGACGGAAGGTGTGAGCAATGTTCAAAACATTTAAGTTGATACATACGTTTTGCCTTAATGTCAATGTAAAAAAGTTGCATAAGGTGAGGCTTTATAGCCAAGAATCTAGCATTTGTATTGGTTTGTAGAAGGTTTACAAAAAAAGTATATCCACTCATTCTCACAATAGGAGGTGTCGATAAATCATAGTGTATACGCTCAAACAAACCCATGTTTTAGTGACACAACTATTAGCAGAAAGATAAGTAGACAAACATGACAAAGTTGGAAAGTTTAAAAACGGAAATTCATGGAGGACCATTTCGGTAATTCCATGTATGAGAAGACACAATAGCAAAGGCCAAGGATAGAGCTAGATGAGAGGTGGATGGAAGAATGAGGTGAATATCACCTATGGAGTTTTATCTTTTTGAGAAGAGTGCTCATTTTAAAATTCTTGACAAATAACCTAAATGCTCAAATTAAACAGAAATAGTATTGCTTGTTATGAACTAATGAACATAGAATATCGTTTAAGTGAAAAGAATTTAAAAAAAGGAAAAAACGAATATGTTGTAGTCGAGTGGGCTACATGTGGTGGGTCGGGCTATTGTAGACCGATCCAAAAATAACAAATAACGTAATAGAAAGTAGAAACCAAACTAATTTAAACATAAGAGAAATGAATTTGGAAAATTCTCAAATAGTTAGGATCTATAAGGAAAATAAATAAAATAATTGGTAATGTTCAAAGAGATGCAAGTAAATGATAAGTATTTGGATAAAAATATAAAATTTCTATTCTAATAAAAGAATATGTTTAATCTCATATTGACAAGTGTCATGCAATTAGAATGCTTATTAGTTAATTTGTTTATTAATGTCTTAGTGATTAAAATAATGAACTTTGTCAAATTCTTTAACATCTTTCAAAGTTTAAAATCAAATCAAAAATATTTTCAACATACATTTTTATTTAAGTTATTTTTTTAGAACGGCGGAAGATTTTATTAAAAAATTAGCAAGATGTTTGGAAAAATGTATTGCAACAAAATAGAAGAATCAGATCATTTAATCTTAACTTTACTATACCTATTGAAAATCTAAAAAAAAACCTGCTCAACAATCTCATCAAAAATAATGAATTTCCTAAGAGAAGTCATTCCAAAAATAAAGAAAAACCACTGCTTCAAAAGCTTTTCGTTGACCATCACACAATTGAATAGAATCAGACCAAGAGATAAGATATGTAATACAAGATCAGGAAGTTGTACTCCCCACCAAATAGCAATCCTACTCCATATATCATTCAGCTCCCCGCACCCTACAAAAAGATGATCAATAGTCTACACAACATTAAGACAAATCGGGCACATAATCGAATGCAACTCCAACCCTTGAATAGACAATCTCTCCATAGTCGGGATGCTACCAAGTCCGATCCTCCAAATGAGAATGTTAATTTTGATAGGAACCCAGTTATTCTACCTGGTCTCCGTACCACTCACACCAAGAAAACTAGAATCAATAATAGGACGAGCTGAAGAAATCAAAAAAGCATTTGACACATCATTGAGCCAACCAAATCTATCCGGAGTATCCTGCATCCGACAATGCTTCAGTAAATCCATGAAATCGTCCCACTGGCTCTGCTCAATACCTCCCCCAGGATAACATTAAAGACTACTAGAGTCTCATCCTAAAAGAAACTGATCTGTAACACCCTATTTGTTAAATAAATAAATAGATGAAAATTTTATTAACGAATAGTGGCCCTAAATGCGGGATAATTTAGCAAGGCGCTATTGTTGGGGGTTAATAGGTAACTTCCAGATTAATTTGTAAAGATTTTGGAAGGTTGAGGGATGTTTAGTAAATTAAGGGTCTATTTTGAAAAGGATTTCAGAAGTTAGGGTGGATTTGGTAAATTATGGACTTATTATGAAAGACTTTATGGAGGTAGGGGCTAAAGTGTAAGTTTTTGGATTTAAATTGAAAACAATATTGTGGGGAAGGACTAATATTGGAAAAATGAATTAAACTTTGGATGGACACGGGATTAGACCCGGTACCATCCTTCCCTCCCGTTCTCATAATGCAACCCCAACCCTAAGTTGTTATACTCCAGCCGCCACCACCATATGTAGCATCTTCAGTCGCCGCCGCCTAGCAGAGATTGACCGCCACCTTCCTACCTGTTACATTGTCGAGCACCACCACAACTTTGCTGCCGGATATCGGGGGCAATCGTAAAACCACCGAGGACCACGGAACTCGCTGTGGGTGTCGGCGTGTGGGTCACGAGCAACTGAAAACTCTCGGTAAGGTATATGCGACCATTCTCTCTTTTCTGTTTCTTTTTCATTCCGGTGAGTGTGACGCAAGTACGCCCTAGCTACCGCAGCCGACCTCAACTATCTGTTCCGTCGACTTTGACGCTACCAACCTTCAAACGGTGGATGATGGTTGTGTTTCTCGTCGCATTTTTATGTGTGATGCTGTTGGACTTGTGAAGATTTTTGGTCGGAGGTTAGGCGCACCACCATGGCAGCCAACTAAGGTTGCTGTCGTTTCTGCCGTATCCCGCCGCCACCAGCCACCGTGGGAGGTGGCTGTGGGTGTGTGTTCATGTGCAACTGTTGCTTCCGGTTTTTATGAGGTTGTATGTGTGTTAGTGTGGTCGGAAAACCTACCGCCACCACCGTTTACTGCCAACTGCCGCCACATGGGTGGGTGTGAGTGTACTTCCCCCTTGTTGAAGATGTAATTGGGTGTTTTGGGCCGGAGAGAAACCATAGAAAACTCCCACCACCACTGTGAGGTGGAGGCTGCCGTCGACCACTACTGCCCGAGGTGGCAGTGGGTGGTGCCCGACCTAGTGGTACCCTAATGGACCGAAAACCTTAATTTTGGACCTAATTGGCATATGCTCAGGTTAGAAACACTAATTAGGGTTTAGAAAACCCTAATTTTAGAAAATGTTAGTTTTGGATTGCCGGGACCCGCGTTTGGACCAGTGGACTGAAGTTATGACATATGCCAATTCCGTTGTATGTTGGCTTAGTGGAATAGTGGACTTAATGGGTTAAATGAGAAAACTTAACCCTAATCGTCATTTCATGTAGGGATGAGCGTGGGACGGAACCGGTACCGACCCGTACCGTTCCCGATTTCCCGAAAACCGAATTTTATCAAAAGTCAATCACAAGTATCAAACCAAATTAACATCACCGGTACCAGAAATGATACTGGTTTTCGGTACTAGTACCAGTACCGGTGGTACCGAATCCCGAATTGCATGTATATGGAGTACTGAGTACCATCCCATATTTTCATATTCGGTACGGTTCGGTACCAGTTCCGATATGGTACCGATATGGGATTGGGATTTGGGATAAACTGGTCATCCCTAATTTTATGTGAAAACCCTAATTGTGTTGGGTTTTGGGTTGGGCCTTTTCTGTTGGGCCTAGATGTTTAGACTATTGATGGGCCATCCAAGAACAAGTATGGGCTAGAATAATTTGATTAGGCTTTATGATAAGGCCCATTGGACAGGCATGGGCCTATTTTAGAAAATTGAGTCATAGTTGGGCCTTGGTTGATTATTTGACTTTTGGGCCTTCAGAGTATGAGTTTGGGCCTTAATCTTGGAACAAGCTAGGTTAGTGGTAAAATGGTCCTTTTACCCCAAGTGGGGATTTTAGAGTTATGCATAAGAAGCCGAAATGGTTAATTAGGTTTTGTTTGATGTTGGCAGCTTGGGATATGTCAGCCAGTAGCCCGAGATTTATTTGCGGGACTTCAGCAGTGCGAGATGAGTTTCCTTCAGTAGGTACGGGTCTAAGGCACCAAGGTTGGCCCGTATATGTGATATGTTAGTAGCTGGGTGTGGGCGGGGTTCGTATCTCATTATTGTCAGAGTATAAATATCAATCAGATTGTTGGATTGTTATACTTGTTGTCTATGTGATACTTGTATGTGTTGTTTATGTATGTGAGTGTGGGCGGGGACGTATCTCATTATTATTCGAGTGTATGGGGGGGGGGGGAGAATCTCATAGTAGCCGAGTATGGGTGGGTTCCTTATCTCGTAGTCTTATTTGAGTATAGATATATGACTGCTTGATAGGAGTAGATATACTTGTCATGTGTGTGATACTTGTATGCACGTTAGTAGCGGAGTATGGGCGTGGACTGAATCTCCTACATAGTGGAGTGTGGGCAGGGTTCGAACCTCCTATGCAGCGGAGTGTGGGTGTGGGCGGGGCCCGAATCTCCATGAGAGTGGGCGGGGCCCGTATCTCCTAGTTGCATGTTATGTGTGTGGTATGTGGTAGTTTTGGGAGACTCACTAAGCTTCGTACTTACAAATTTTAGTTTTGGTTTCAAGTACTTCGTTGTTCAAAAGAGGAGCTCAGGATGATTGCAGTACACACACCATTTGTTATATCCTGAGATGTTTTTACTCTAATATAATTGAAAGTTCTTTATAATATTTCAAGATACACTACTTATGGTTTTGTATGATGTTTAATATTATGGTTTTCTTAATGATTTAAAATGAAAATTTTGGATTGTATTTTTGGGATGTTTCAAGTTGGTATCAAAGCCTTGGTTTGAGGGATTCGGGCAATGCAGTCATCCCGAGCTCTTCCCTTTGTTACTAGAAGTACCTGAAACCAAAACTGAAAATCGTAAGCACGAAGCTTAGTGAGCTCCCTGAACTAGCATATACTATACACATAATCATATAATCACATTAAAAACATATCATGGGCCTCGCTGGATTCATCGGGCCCTGACCGGCATCGGACCCCGCCCGACATCGGACAATGTACGACATCGGTCCCATCCCGACCTCAAGCAAATCTTGTTATACATATAAACATATCAACAAAAACACATAGAATAATAACATAATATAAGCATATAAACATTCCTCGGGCCCCGCCCAACATCAGACCGTAATCCGGAAAGCATACAAACATTCCTCGGGCATTGCCCGACTCGGACCAAAATTCAGAAACATATAAATACAGACACATGCGAGAATCACGAAGACATCAAGCGTACAAACATTCCTCGGGCACTGCCTGACATCTGATCGTAGTCCGGAAAACATATAAACCTACATCGGGCACCGCCTGGAGACGACTGAGAAGGTTCCCTCATGGTGGCAGTTGATGATGAGTTAGGGTTAGGGTTTTGGAAGTGATGATATTAAGACGGGAGGGAAAGACCACTGGGTTCAAATCGCGTGTCCCATACAAACTTTCATTCAATACACGCCTTTGGTCCCTCATTCCCAATTTCTTTTCAAAACAACTCCATAATTTACCATTCAACCGCTTAGCCTCCAAAATCCTTCAATTTAAGTCTAACAACTACAAAATAAGTCTAAATGTTTTATTTTAAGTCATATGCTCATATATACTTAACACTAAAAACACCGAAAGTACCCCTTTAGCCCTCTAAGACAACTATTAATGCCAAGTACACCTATCTACACCAAATCCTTTATTTAAATTTCATATTCTGAATAAATAATACTTAAAATACATTCCCGGATTTAGGGCTACGATAGAATAACATAAGAAAATGATATAATTTACACTTCGGGGTTGTCACACCCCCGAACCAGACGGCGGAAACGTCCGGGGGCTGTTGTGACTCAATTGAATACCATCACAATGAATATACATGAAACATAACATTATACATCACCAAGCATTGGAATGATACAACTGGTAGCGTTCACATCCATTACATCATTTCAAAATATTACATTCCAAAATACATGGTTCATTGTTACTAAAACAACCGCAAAACAATCATAGAATACCGTCCTTTCTTCACTTATCTGTTACCTGAGAATACAAGTATATTGAAAAACGTCAACATGTGAAATGTTGGTGAGTTCATAAGTAACGTTTGAAATCCGATGTTTGTAATGTTATAAAAAAACCACCAGAAAATCCGATATTTTCTGAAATTAGAATAGCGTAAAAATATGTTAAGATCCGTGAGTATGCTTGTTTGAATTCTATAGATGTAAGCGTAAGAGTTGTGAAATTCGACATGTAGTTCATAAGTGTACTTGTTGAAAACCCTAGGAAAACCCGACGTTTTCCTATCACTTTGCTTTACTTAGTTTGTGTACTGTTATTTCGTTACGTTAGGGGTATTCGTTGAGCTCCGGAGGCATTGAGTATACAGTGGGTGGTGAATTGTTGTAACGTCCGTAAATGAAAACGTACAGTCGACAACCGTACCAGCGATCCCTTGGGCGTCGCTTGCACTTATTCACACAACTCAATCCTCCCGGACTTGTGTAGTCCCACGACCGGAGAGAAAAAGAGAAGGTGCGAAACCCTCGGTATTTCTCTGCGTCGTTCAAGACCATTGCAATTGCGAAGGGCCCGAAGCCCAACCCGCAATCGTGAGTTCCCGACTTTACTAGCAGCACTGAAGGACCCTTGGGGACCAGCAGCATGTTTGCCATTGAAAGTCCTTTTACACGCGGTCGAGTCGTATTAGACCCAACTACATGTAAGCAAGTGTCCTTTGGGCCTAAAGATCATGTCATCGGGCTAGCTAGGCTCGACAAGCATGATTTGCAACTTTTGGGCCTAAGGAGTGTACGTCGACGTATTGAGTAATAACACGAGAGTAAAGAGTTCCAAGAGTTCCATATGTGTATTGAGCGTTGTAGTGTTAGTAGTTTTGGATTTGTTATTGATTCGAGACCGAATCAATTCGTTTGGTAACGATTGTTGGTGATATTGTGTATTGTAATTTATCGAGAGTCGTAGTGTCAATCTTTGTTCACAACGAGTGTATTGAATTATCATTGAAAATTTTCTGTTTACAACCCCTCTTCATTTTGTAAATTTACTTTTTCACCCCTTTAGGTAAAATAATTTCCGGTTTAGTCCTTAAACCATTTTTCTTGACATTTTAACACCAAAAAATTATTGAAATTAATATTTTTCAGCATATTTTTCATTGAAAACAGTTTAAGTCC